GTTATATGCAGCGTTTTTAGTGTTTTCTTCGACTTGGTTCAGTGAGAATTTAGTATGATGTTGTGTTTTATGCATTTTAGTATAAGGCAAAAATGAGCATTTTGACATGGTATGCCTTCAGACAAGTTAGCTTGAGCACTAAAAGAGATGGGGAACTGGGATTGTGAGAGCATAGCACCTGCTATAAACTCGAAATATCTTTAGCTCCCCGCTGTGTGTCCTGAAACCATGCTCGTAGATCTAACTGCAGCAGTGTCAAAATTGGAGAATGAAAAAAGAAGCGTGCCCAGAGTTCCGCGTGTGTTTATATAAGCAAGCAAGGCAGGACAGGTAACTTCAAACTGACTTCCGGATTTGCTACGCCTGACCTGTAAGTAGCAGTTCAGTTCGAACTAATTTCGGGTTTTTAGCGCGGGTCAGGACACGTATGTGAAATTTGATAATGTGAAAATTTCCTTGCAAACTGCACCATTTCTATTTCCTGATGTGTGGTTATGTTAATTTAAACGGAGCAAGCTTCGCATTCAAGTTCTAATGCGTTTTATATGCCGAATGTATTAAAAACCAACATTGGCCACTTCCCGGATGCGCTGGTGTAATTGCATCTATCTGTCTCGGAATTTTTACTGTATAGTCGCATCGGCTCTCTGCTCTGGCATGCATCGCTTGCACCATCGTCACATGCTAACTTTTTCAGGGGATCACAAACCAGCACAGCGATAAGCAAGGGAGCTTTTTGGATGTTGCGAATAAGAAGCTCTCGGAATACAATTTCTCAGATGTGGAATATGAGAAATTAATACCACGAAAAAGCACTGCGGCACCCCCTCCGTCCTACGATTTCGATGACGATATTGTGGAGTACAAGGAAGAGAAGGATTCACCCACTGAAGAAATCAGTACAAAATCGGTGCTGAGCAAAAACCATACCGATAAGGTTACAGTATTGCCGTAAGCCTCTGTATGATATATGTGTAAGTTAGGGAACCACAAAGCAGCACAGCGATAAGCAAGGGAGCTTTTGTAGCGGATTACTGAGGCAGTTGAAAATAGACTGAGCGAAAGGGGTCTGCCAGTAGCAGGTTCCTTTCACTCAGCCTATTTTGTGCCGGCGCTAGCTTAAGGATCAGGTTTAGACGGCGTGCCCGTATCGATATCCTATGATGATGATTGCTCGAGGATTTGGTTTTCTTATCAATGGATTCGAAGCGACGGCTGGGCGTACCTCACTAAGCCCAGTCGGAGTACCTGACTTGTCTTGAGAATTCAGTGAAAAAAAGGGAACTGGTACTGAAGAATCCGAGGCGTTTTAGGAATTGTAATTTACAGTTTTTCAGACAGACAGCACTTCCGACTTCCGTGACCACGGACCTCTTTGTGCTGATGTTATATCAACATTCAGTGAACCTCCTCTTATCCCACTGTCGCCTATTTCGGAAGCTAATGAAGAAAGGGTTATCACTTATTATTTTTTGAAAAACCAAACACATCTCACTCTTACAGTCATTTCCGGTTTATAATTAAAAATTTTGCTTCATCGACTTTTTGCAGAAGGTTGAAGGTGTTTTTCCTCTTTCAGGTAGATGAGATCCAAAAAACGCCGTTACCTCCTGTGCAGCAAGAGGTAGCTTCCAGAAATTTTTTTCCTGAAAGAAATTTTCTGCTATTGTGTTAGATTTTCCTAACTGCTTTTTCCTTTTCTGCTGTGTAATAGAAAATTCGGTTTTTCCTTTTGTGGGTAAAGCTTTGTGAAATACAGAGGCCCTTGATCTCACTTTACTGTTTATGCATTTCTAAAATAATTGTTTGAAAAGTTGGCTTGGTGGGGTAATCGAGTGCTTGGGCCATTTTTAAATTTGTAGGTTTTTTTTTTCGATTCTGGAGTCTGTTTGTGGTGTAATGCTGGTCATTTCTTCTTCAGCCTTAACATCCTTTCATTGATTGTAACTGTTTATTGCGTAATTTCTTATTCTATATAGATGAGTGATAACGAGGACGTGGTTCGACAGTGTGATGGTGAATCATTAAGACATGATACGAATGACGAAGTTCTAGTTGGCATCCCGCAGAAGGTTTGTTTTGTTTCTTTCGCTTTGGTGAATAGAGACATTGGGATATCAAGATCAACTGCAAAAGAAAAATAGCAACGCATACCAGAATAACCGGTGCTATCATGCGTTTTGTGCAAGTCCGTCCACCGAACGTTTGCCTGCTAATTACTGTTTTGCACGTTGGTTTGTGCAAAAATAGTTAAAATGTTATTGGTTTCCTATGTTGCGGAATTTCTCATTAAAAATTTCACACACCAGCACGTGAAAGTTGGATTTGAAATCTTGAAGGACGAATATTCTTCCACAGTTTCAGTCCAGTTTTCTGGCTTTCGACTGATTTTTGCGACAGAACTTTCCCGTATTCGTACATCAGGGCTCGGCATACTTGGAAACTGAATTCGAGTTTGTGAAATTCCTGCTTAGGCAGGAATCGTCCTCCTGAGATTTTCCGCTTCCTAGCTCTTCTGACTCACGATAATGATTTTTCCCGCCAAAACTTCCACGGGGACGTTGAAAATTTGCGACGTCTTATGTGGGCAAGGGATGCCACTCTAAAATTTCAGCTTTCTAGCTTTTGCAATTCAGGAGATAATAATTTCCGTACCGAAACTTTCACGGGGCCGTACGTGGTACCCAGAAGTGCATGAAAGCTGAGTCCAATTCTGCTGGATCATGTGTTGATAGGGGACATCACTCTAAATTTTCACATTCCCAGTTTCTGCGGTTCCCGAGATAATAATTTTCCCCGCCAAAACTTTCACGGGGCTGCAAGTGATACTCGGGCGTTCGGGAAGGCTGAATTTAAATTTGCGAGATTGTTTGTGGGCGGGGGGCATTACCGTTAAATTTCTGCTTCCTAACTCTTATGCTTCCCGAAATAATAATTTACCCGCCAGAATTTTCACGGGGCCGAAGATGATACCCGAGAGCATGGGAACGCTGGATCCGAATTTGCGAGGTCGTGCGTGAGCAGAACAATTCCCGTAAAATTTCAGCATCCTAGATTCCATGGTTCCCGAGATATTTCTGAAAATTTAAATTCAGCCTTCACGTGGTAATATATATGGCCCCGTGAAACTTTTGACGGGCAAATTAAAAGTTTCATGTGCTCGTCAAAAGCTTCACGGGGCCATATATATTACCCACAGGCACGTGAAGGCTGAATTTAAATTTTCAGAATCGCACGTGGGCAGAGGATATACCCGCAAAATTTCAGCTTCCTGGCGTCTGTGGTTCCAGTCAAAACATTTACGGACCGTGCGTACCCACGGAGACGGGGAAGCTGAATTTAAATTTGCGGAGTCACACGTGGATAAGGAACATCCCCTCCCCCCTCC